GCCAAACAGGTGAGGTCCCATTTGTGTCTAAAATTTGCCATTAATGTCTTCTAGTATTAAGTATTCTGCCAAGGTTAATGTTAATAAATAATATTATATTCTGTCTCAGCATGGTACCCAGTTCATTCTGACCTCTGACCCCATGGAGGCTGCCCGTGACAGCAATGTCTTGGTCACTGACACCTGGGCCGGCTTAGGAGAGGAAGAGGAGAAGAAAAAGAGGCTCAAAGACTTCCATGGTTTCCAGGTCTCAATGCAGGTAAAGAACAGCATTACTTTCAGCCAAATAACTACTCTCCACCTTTTTATAAGTGCAGTAACACATTTAATTGCATGTTGCATTTGCATTGCCTTTGCATTCCAAGCAAAGGGGAACTTTTGTCAATGCACGATTTCCTGGTATACCGATTACACCAATGCACACATCAGAACTACAAAGAAGCAATCCAATTCAATCAAATGTTATTTATGAAAAAATACCTAGCACAGGACCAAAGTGCTGTATAGAAAATAAGTTAAAAAAACAATAGAATAAAATAAAATAAAATAAAATAAAAGCCAAAATAAATAAATAAAACACATAATACATAAAAAATTAACACAGCCCTATAATAAAAGATAAGATAAAACCACATAGAAACTACTAAAATCAACTAAAATAAAACTACAACTAAAACAAGCATCTCACATGGTGTCAAAGGCCAGGGTATAGAGGTTGGATTTTAGGAGTGATTTAAAAACAGGTTGAGAAGAAGCCATCTAATCTCTAAAGGGAGATCGTTCTACATTTCCACAGAGCTGCTACAGCAAAACTCGATCTCCTCTAAGTTTACGCTCAGTTCTGGGTACACTCAGTAGCAGCTGATCAGCTGACCTGAGAGAGCAGTTGGGTGTATAAGGCTGCAGCAGCTCAGAGAGATAAAGTGGGGCTAGGCCATGGAGGCCTTTAAAAGCAAATAAAAGAATTTAAAAATGAATCCTAAAAGAAATGGACAGCCAGCGAGGTGAAGCTAAAACAGGGGAAATGGGCTTAAACTTTCGAGGGCCAGTTAAAAGACGAGCTGTGGCATTTTGCACCCTCTGTAGATGAGTAATGTATGATGCACTGATCCCTATATAAAGTGCATTACAGTAATCCAGCTGAGTGCTAACAAAAGTGTGGATAACTGTCTCAAAGTGTGCCGTGAAAAAATTGGCTTTATTTTAGCCAGCTGCCTGAGCTGAAAGAAGCTTGATTTTGCCTTAATCCGACTGTCAACTTTCAGTTCATTCCACTTTGACCCCCAGGTTTGTGACAGTTCGCTTAACATACTGGGCCAAGGTATCTAAATACTCATTGGGGGTCTCAGTGGGGCTACCAAAAACCATCACCTCAGTCTTTTTGTCATTGAATTTTAAAA